GTTTCATTGATTTGTTTTAGAAGCAAGCAAGTCATTTCCCGCAGGCACGCACGTCTGCAACTGCTCGGAATGGTTGCGGGATGTTGATCGAGAAAATATAAATCGTGGTGTAAGCTTACCCACATATTTAGTGTTATTTAAGTGTAAGGGTGATGTTAATAGGACTTCCGTTGTATACGGCGCCCGATCACATCACGACGTCGCCTTCGTTTCCGATAGAAAAAAACACGAAAAATCAAGCATTGGCAGGCGACGGCTCAGTAAGCCACAACACACACGGGAAGTTTCATAACCGGTTCGAAATCGTGATGTATGACTGGTGAATAAACGCGCCAGCTGCTTACGCTCAAACCACACGTCGACAAGACCTTGTATGGTCCGCATTGTGAAACACCTTTCCGGGCGGCGACAACGGAGCTTGCACAGTTTGCGCGCACTCGCAGGGGTGAAAGAAAAGGAAATGACGGAGAGTTGCCCTGCACTGCTCCGGGTGTGACAGGGCTGCATCAGCGACCAATAAAATGCCTCGATTTTCGTCAGAAATAGAAACTTCGTGACACATTATCGAAAACATGCCTAGGTTTGCTAAGACAGATGCCTGGGACTGTTGGTGATTGGGAATCAACATATTTGCACAGCGCAAGTATGTTGCGTCAGCGTTCTTTCTGTCCTTGTCTCTTCTTTTGTAGTTACGTCGTAACTACTTCGTAGTCTTGCGCTGTGCAAATATGTTGATTCTAGGTTTGCTACAATTTACGACAGTGGCCTCCAGCTTCTTGCGACATATCGCAGCTCCCTTTTCAAGAACGATCACTCCTTGTGGATTTTTTTTGCATGTGTGCTAATGTAGTTCGCTGTGAACAAAATGCACGAATCACTAACAAAAAAGAAAGTAGGGTGGGGGGGGGGGCGAGCACAGGACAAATCGTGTGATATAGCCCACCACTTGTCCTGTATTCCCCTTCCCCCCATTTTTTGTTAGTCATTCGTGAATTTTGCTCAGTGCAACTACATTATAAATGCAGTGTCAACTAGCTCAAGTTGAATCTTTACGTGTGTTATACACCACATTTCTAACATGAATGTTGTACCGCGACGGTAAAGGTGCGAGCTGCTGGCTACACCTGTACCTAAAGAGCCTTGTGCCATGCCGCGAGAATGAAGGGACTCGTGCTTGGCGGTTAAAATATCTGGACATGTATACAGAAGCCGCGCGTTCGACTCATCGGCAACAATGCGGGCTTTAGATGCACTTTTCACACCGCCACCCTGAAGAACTATGTAAGCAAACGGGGTCGTGATAGTAACAACAAACCGCGGTATACTTTTGTCATTAGGTCCTTGTCTCTTTAGATATATGATTAGCATGCCAGGCCGACACGTCGTCTCTTCCTAAAAAAAAAAAAGAAGTTTTCATTTGTTTCGTTCTTGTGGAACCCTTCATTTTTATTTACAAGGATTAACTGAAGAAAAACACGTGCTTGACAATTAATGTCACCCTGGTGTATTGCGGGCATTAAACAAACCACTTTTACTAGTCAAGCGCTTGCCAGGAACATCGACAAATGCTGAGCTAGATCGCGATATGTTAGGCATAACGCGTTGGTTATGTAAACGCAGCGGCAGAACTTGTCTCGTTCTGTGCGGCTGACTCACGTACACAGCATCAGTCGTAGGCGTACCTGCCGCATTTTCTCTCGGCACCCGCGCCATCGGTGAATGCATGCGAATGCGCGTGACGTCATGAGTGTGCAAATGCACGTGTGTCAGACTGGCCACCTGTGACCCTGACGAGACGGGCCAATATGCTTTCCGTAGCCACATGTTTTGCGTCTCTGATGTTGACTGGAAGAAGTCTGTAAATTTTTGTGACGTATAGTGTGTTCATGTTTGTGTACACGCGACTCACTTTTGCCGTTTCTGTGCAACGGTGGCAACAAGTAGACGATGAACCCCGAGATAATGGTAAATTAAATGTTCTTGTTACCCAAATTTAGATATGTTACTTCTGTGTGAAACATTTCGCTACACTCGACGACTTTGGTGAAGGTAGCACATGTTTAACGAGTCGCTCGACGTTGGGCGTTTCGGCGGGAATCTGAAATTGTTTTATACATTTTGGGGAAAGTGCTTGTCGGCCAGCAGATAACAATTGGATGTAATTTGAGTGGGTAATTGAATTTCCTTTATTATTTAACCGTAAGCAGATTATTAATTACGTAGTAACTGATATTATTGGGTATAAATACGCTACAATTCGTTCAGACATTTCTGCTCGCTTTAAACTGGGTATTTAAAACGTATTATACAAGGGTCGTCATCACAACGCTTGTCGCAAAGGGATAATATTCCATCTCGGTCTTTTAATTTGAACCTTGCCACTTGAAAAATAAACTTCAATTTGTCAACTCATCGGGCTCAGTCGGGCCCAATGAACTAATTTGCATCGGACCTCTTACTGCAACTTCGAATACATCGCCAATACAAAAAAGGGGAGGGGAGTTGGGGGGGGGGAAGGAGTAACTTTTTACTCGGCTACCTTGCGACAAAAAACCGTGGTTTTATGTATGCAAACACAGACACAAATAGGCGGCTGGTGTGCTAACTCTTTGGATCACAATGGGATTTATGTCAACTCACTGTGTTTGCGTCGCCCTTGACAGGTACTTCTCGTCGACGGTGACGACACAATTGCATGTACAGATTAAGCACACGTGGTATCTAACGATGCAAAAGGTAAACGCAAAGATACGCGAATGGGTAGTCCTTATCGATTAAGTGCGAAACGAGACAGAAGATTCATTCGACGCGCACGTCAACGAACTTGTCGAAAGGGGAATAAATACACTTCGGCAAGGTCTCGTATTCAACTGCCTGGAACGTACTTTCTTTAACCTAATAATCACAGCTCGCGCTTTCGATGTTTGCACGTTGCAAGATCACTCCGTGGTTATGTAACGTCCCGATAGCGTCCACCAAGGCTGTATGGTTCACTCAGGCCATCGGGGCTTCGTTTCGATGAATGCGAAGTGGACGCGATTGGGAACAACAGGCAGTCAAGATGAATCTGAAGCCTTTCACTCCGACGTCCTTTGTGAACCAGTGCGCAGTTTGGAGACCTCACAACTCACATGAGAAATCTTCCTTGGTCATTTCATATGCGTCGTGGTCTAACTCGGGCGTTCACGTTTTACAAGCTTTAGTTCTCGAGGTTGACCTTGAAGAAGATTGACAACAGAGCGCATCGTAATATGCACAGAAGTAGTATACGGGTGGCACGAAGATAGGGAACTGAAAAAAGTATTTATGCGGGCTTGATTGGAACGTACTGAATTTTCAAAACAGCGCTAGCGCGGGACACAGACTGCGAGAGAGCGCATGGGCCATGAAGGATGGAAGAGGCAGTGATCTCGCTCCGCATTATAGGAAGTGTGTGTTCTTTTTTGCACGCCACACTTTGATAACAAAAGGGTTTTGAAAAACTAGGAGGATGAACGCACGAGAGATATATTCGAAACCTGCGTAATGCACATGCACTATGACCCATCCGTAAGCATGTTACACATACTTGCTGAATAAATGAAGGCGCAAATATCTTGATAACTGCCTGGAATCTTCGCGCTTCTGGCATGATGGAATGCTGTCGTCGGGAACTATTTTTTTTTGTTTTTTTCGAGGGCAAATATTGTGCTGCGGCGTAAAAAGCTAGTTGTTAGCGCCCGATCTTGTTGCTTCTAGTTTACGCCCTGTCCTAGCGCTCTCTATGTGCTTCTCCTACCCAGTGCTACATTCTATTTCAATATTCAGTGTACCTTCTATTTCAATATTGTGTACCTTCTCATCTCTCTGCAACCTCTTTTCTTCCCTATCCCTTCCCCAGTGCAGGGTAGCAAACCGGATGTGCGTCTGGTTAACCCCCCTGCCTTTCCTTGCATCTCTCTCTCTCTCTCTCTCTCTCTATTTCAATATTCAGAACACTGTATATCGCTTGCCTTTATTCTCTTCCTCTCACGTCTGCCTCATTTTTCACCCAAATGATATGAGTGACTGATAAAGCGGGAATCCCAGATCCCTGAGAGTCGAGCGATGCGTCGCAGCTGAGCGTGCCGACGCCCAGTTTCGAAGGCGGGACCCATGCGGCGCGAAAGCGCGCGCTTTTCAAGCCCGACCGGTCGGCAGGAGGCACCGCCCATGCAGGCAGCGCCCTCCACTACAGCAAGCTCACGTGCGTCGTCTCTTCGGATTGCTGCAGCTGGTCTCGCGCACCGAACGGAGCTTGTTAAACAACGGCGGGGAATCAAGTGCGAGTTGTCGAGGCTTGTAGCCTACACAAGCGTCGATAACGATGTTGATGAACCTGCGCATGGCTGAAATATTGCAGTTCACGCGGCGCAGACAGGAGGAAGGATACGAGCATAAATTTAATTCGACCGAAAAGAAAGAGAGAATCATTGCACCTCCGGTCCTGCATGCATATCCTGCAGCCGCCATCAGATTGTTGAATCTGACACGCATTCACATCGTTTTACATAAAGTACGTGATTTGCCTTAACAAACGCTCGGCTGTCACCGACTGTATTGTCCTTATTCGACCTATAATTCACCAACTGAAATTCCACTGATAAAAAAAATTAATACCACGGTACACCTTTGAGAGTAATCGTAGCCTTGTCGGCGTGATTTATCGACTGGAATTTAACGCGAAAAAGAAAAGAAATAGAACTCTCGAGCTGGAAACCGAAATCGGTATTTCTATCGAAGCAATTTTTTTTTCGCGCTGAGTAGTAGCAAACATCACACTAGCCATCGTAATATCAATCGTGTCGGTAAAATGAGGGGTGCACCAATCGATTTACACTTAGACAGGGGATCCTAAACACTGAATCAGAAACCAGCCACGCTATTAAAGGGAACGAGGAGAAGGAAACTGCTCTGGGAAAGTGTGGAGAGTAGAGGACATGGGGGCGTGGTGGCGCCGAAACGTCGTCTGCAGCACTCACCGATGTTGACGAGCTTTATTCCCTCCTGGTTGGTGAGGAACTTCAGGGCGACGCACACGTTCTCTAGCTTCTGCGAGCGGAACGTGGGTCGCTTGTTGTGCTTGGGCAGCTGCTTGCCCGAGAGCACTTCGATGAGCGTGATGAGGCGCAATCCGTCGGCGAGGTCCGTCTCCAGGGAGGCGATCGTCTTGTTGGCCGTCTTCAGGTGCTCGTTCGCCCATCGGGTGAAGGTGTTCTGCTGGATGCGCTTCCAGACGGCGTCCTCGGCGAGTTCCCGCTCCATCGCGTCCTCGTCGTCGTCGGCCCTCGAAGAGGCGACCACTCGACTGCCGCGCCGATCCGAAGCCATCGTGAAGCTCGCCTCCGGTGCAGGAAAGTTACGTCACTTCCGCCCGCCTCTTCGCTTCTTGCAGCAGACCGCTAGTTTTCGGCCGCTTTCCGGATGGATCGCCGGCGAAAGCTTTCCGTTCCTTTTTTTCCTCCTCCTGCGTCAGAAGAAGAGCATGTGCGTGAGTGAAAGAGAGTCGGAGAGCCGAAGTGAAAGGCCGCGCGTATATAAAGCGAAGTCCGGAATTCCGCCGCGCTCCCGTCTGCGCGCTGATACGTGCACGGACAGCCAGCCGCACTGGTCGGTCAGTCGGTCAGTCGGCCGCCGCGCTGCACGTTTTACACATGCCCTCCTCTCTGCCCCTCCTCCTCTTTCAACTTCGCACTACTGTCCCCTACCCCACCCCTTCTTTGCATGGTTTGTGTGTACTCGTGCTCCATATTGTGTCTATTTCTCTAACTACATTTCTACTGGCTTACAGCCTTCCATGTGCCTTTGGAGGTGCGGGCTTCCCTGAAATTGAGGTGCACTTTATTTATTTACTTATGTATTTATTCATTTATTTATTTATGTTTACAGAGGGATCTAAAGAAATGTTATGCCCGTTTCGAACACTCCAGGAACAGCCGCCACGCCTGATTCTATTTCCGTAGTTTAACAGGCAGACTAAAGATGTCGGAAAGAGAAACGCCGACGAGAATGCAGTGTGAAAATGCGTATAGATTGGATCGCGTAGACAACGCTGGCCGCATTTGCACGTTTTCGATTTCTACGCTTGGTGAGGCTTCGTCTGGCGCTCCTCTGGCTTTATGTTTTAATGTCGGTGTGTTGATAGCCGGAGTGGAAGTTTATCAACGAACCTCTTGGAGTCTGCGTATGCTGGCTCGGCCGAGATACGCGGAGCCGGTCCGCCGTCTACAAAACTTGAGGATGCGTTTCCTGTTGCAACCGTTCGCGGCATTCTTCAATTCGCGGCACGTACGCATGCGTTTCTTTTCTTTCTTTTCAATTTGTTCATCTATTTTTTTTTGTGAATTTTCGTGTGAGAATTCACACTCGAAATGTTGGATTGCAGTACCATTTGTGGTTGTTGGCAACCCAATGCGTCCACTAAGTTATGGTCATCCATGTTTCTGACCATAATCGCCGTCGAGAACCACTGGGGTTTCATTTCAAGAGTTGTTTTAAAAGACGATAGTCTTCCTTGGGATACTTGAACGCAGAAATGTCTGTCTGTCTGTCTGTCTGTCTGTCTGTCTGTCTGTCTGTCTGTCTATCTATCTATCTATCTATCTATCTATCTATCTATCTATCTATCTATCTATCTATCTATCTATCTATCTATCTATCTATCTATCTATCTATCTATCTATCTATCTATCTATCTATCTATCTATCTATCTATCTATCTATCTATCTATCTATCTATCTATCTATCTATCTATCTATCTATCTGTCTGTCTGTCTGTCTGTCTGTCTGTCTGTCTGTCTGTCTGTCTGTCTGTCTGTCTGTCTGTCTGTCTGTCTGTCTGTCTGTCTGTCTGTCTGTCTGTCTGTCTGTCTGTCTGTCTGTCTGTCTGTCCATACGTCCGTCCGTCACACGATTCCGCCACCCGGCCAACGTTTAGGCACTTGCTGACTATTACTTGCTGAAGAAGCAAATATTACGCATATGAGTGGCGCAACATCCATACGTAAGTATTCGGTCATGTGTTTATTTAGTAGAAAATACACAGATACGTAATTGCAAGTGCTTCTTAGGCTGCATCAAAATTCGATGCTGTGCGCAAAAAAAAAAAAAAGGCCGGCAGAACACTGTCTTCTTCCGACGACATTTGCAGTGAATCACGCATATACGCGGCCATTTTTTTGCAAGGATGACGTCAACGCTTCATTTCCACCCCCTCTTATTTTTTCCATCTATTGTGAACCATGTTCTTTCTACTAGACCGAGGGGGGAGGGAGGAGAGGGACTACGACGTAACTATGGCCCCCTCCCCCTTCTAAAGAACTCTGCTCACGCTTATGTTAGAAAGAGTGTGGTTTCGTGCAGTAAAATTACTTCAAGGCAGCACTGACGTTCAAAATTTATCAACTTCTAATTGCTGTTCCGTTATGCCTCAACTGTACGAGCATTTCAGGATCGTGTCATGACAGGACAGTTAAATACTGCTTTTTAATGATACCAATCAAATAACTTTCTTGATTTCCGCTTTTTGATACCGCTTACACGGCGGCTGTCGGATGCATAATACACAGATTCAGTCACGATTCCGCAGCAGCCTCACGGACGCAGCCTACTAGCCATTTGCAACGACAGGCCTCGTCCGTACAGCTGCTACAGACGCGCAACTTAAATCTGTCTAATGCGAGCTTGATAAGAAGCCGAACCCGCAACCTCGAACTCGTAGAGTTTCTCAATATACACTAGAGGGAACTCTGGCGCTGGTGTCTATGGGAGCTGCAATGCACGCCACTTCAGCGAGCATGGCAATGATGGGTAGTACACACATTTGTATAAACTCCGTACTTCTGGCCTGCTTTTGGCTCCGTGTGTGTTCGTGTGGCTTGAAGCTGTTCTCTCACGAAACAAAAATCAGCAAATGTTCAGTGGTTGCGCTTCCCCATTTTATTCTTTTAAACTTACCTTTCCAAATGGGGTGACAAAGTTGAAAAGGGTTGAATCTTTCTTTCGAAACGAAACCGAAACACAGCTATAAACGAAGCCGCAAGTACGATTTGCCGTCCGCAAGTACGAAGACTATAGGCAAATGTGTGTACTACCCATCATTCCCATGGTCGCTGAACGATCGCAGCGCCAGAGTGCCCTCTAGTTAATTTTGAGAAATTCTATGCTCGAACTGGCACGCGTCGTAGCAACTGCGATAACGCAACAGGTACACCTCCTCTACGTACGGGAAAGAGCCTTAATGTGAACTGGCATAAAATTACAATCGCCATTACAATCGCCGAAGCTTCGGTGAAATGTTCGTAGAGGTCTTGGTAGCCATGGTGAAGTGAGTGAGTGAAATGAACTTTATTTGGTCCTGGAGAACTGGTCAGACACCCCCCTAAAAGGTGTCCGCCGCAGTTGCTGGCCGCGTCCACGCCGGGACTAGAAGACCGTGGCTCTCCGCCCGTTCGCAGGCCTCCTGGACTGCCCCGAGTATTGGACCGAGAGTTCGGGGCTTTTAAGAGCCCTCTGGCTTACGATCGTTCAATGTCTTCGGTATCGCGTTTCCCTCGTTTCTTCCTCGAGCAAGAGAGAGGTGGTTTGGGGAGGAGGTTTGAGCCGTTTCGTAACGTACAACCCCAGTGGAACAGGTCGTTACGGTATACTCCGCTGCTGACCCGAATGTCGTGAGTTCGATATCGGCCGTGGCGGTTTGCATTTCTATGGAGGCGAAAAAAAAAAGAAGAAAAAGATCCCCGTGTACTGCGCGATTTCAATGCACGTTAAATGGCACCATATGGTCGACATTTCCGTAGCCCTCCACTATCGTTCGTAATGAAGTTGTGGTTTTGGGGCGTAAAGCCCCATTTGTTATATTATTATTATTATTATTATTATTATTATTATTATTACTATTATTATTATTGTTGTTGTTGTTGTTGTTGTTGTTGTTGTTGTTGTTGTTGTTGTTGTTGTTGTTGTTCATTTTTGCTTGCGCTTCATAAAACTATATGAGTTAAGGTCGTTCGTTTTCCTCCCTCGCTAACTCTCCTCTCTCTCTCTCTTTGCCCGTTTAGAAGTACTGGTTAGGCTTGTTGGATAAACAGAGTTTGTCTTCCAGTGCTCGTTCAGAGCTAAACGCTTATTTGATGTATAGACAAGCTCCTAAATTTAAAAGAATATCCATTACCCGTGTTTGTCGAACTATAGCAGACCGGCTCGAGTCTGCACCGCGGAGCGTAGAAAACAAGGACCGCCGTCTGTGTGGCCCTCTTGCAGCAAGGCGCGCGCAGACGGGTTTTGAGTGGAGCCCGTGCCAACGACGCGCAATAAATATCGTCACCCGTGACATGGCTGCCTCTACTCACGCGGCCAGACACTCGCGTGTTTCGGTAACTATAGCCATATCAAGATTCTCGCAAATCTTGCTTGAGTAAACCCCGGTGCTGCGATCGTTCTTCAGCCGTGAAGATTATGGGTTAGTACCTTTTATTTATATCCTATATTAAATGCGAAGCATTTCTTAGCGAAATTCAGCAACGTTGAGCATATCTATCTATCTATCTATCTATCTATCTATCTATCTATCTATCTATCTATCTATCTATCTATCTATCTATCTATCTATCTATCTATCTATCTATCTATCTATCTATCTATCTATCTATCTATCAAGCCGCTTGCGTTTGGGTGCTCTCGTGGGCACCCCCTTAACGTGGCGTGAACCAAAATTAGCATGGGAGGCTAAGATGGCGTGACGAACATGACGCGCTAGTCAACACATGAATAATGTCACTATCCCGTCGCGTACGTCGTCAAACACTTCCCGCTAGACAGTGGCACACACCCAAGGGCGGTATTTGCTGCTGCTATGCGGGTATCTGCCACAGGCGATTGACACTTAGTATCTATCAACCCAGGAATGACAAGAACACACGTGGGCAATTTTAACGCGCGATAGTTAAGAAATATCCGACATCGGTAGCATTGACCTGCCGAATTAAAAGAATAAACGCCAGGGTCCCAACTGGAACCGAACCCAAGCATTCTGCGTGGCAGTGAAGCATCTTACCACATGGCTACGCCATGTCTCGGAACTCCTTTTCCAATAGACGCTAATATTCGTGAAACATCAATAGTGGTTGCAGTGCTGCCTACCCAATTTTATAAACCTTACATAAGTACTTTTTCGATACACCTGTCACGTCGGGTTAACGTCAATTGTGGTTAGTTGCCATGCGTTCAAGTTGATTTATGTATAGCAGTGTCCAGGGCCAGCATCCTCGCGAGCATCAGCGCTTCATATCACCTTCTGGTGTTGCTAATGCGCATGTTCGAGTTGGCATCGTTGCGCAAGTGCAAACAACTGATTATATAAACATCTGCAACCCTTCAACATATGTATGTGCAACGCCTCCTAGAAAAATTATGCCTAGAACGTGAGCCGCGAACGACCCGCCCTCCCCCTCGTATTTTATTCTCCC